TTGTTGCCACAAAAACCACGCGACGCCACGCGGGCTCCACGTAAGCCCTGTCCAGGCATCGGCATTCGCGTAGGCAGACGGACGCATTTTGTGCGGTTGCAGGCCTATTGTCGCGCTCGTGTTGTCTCGTTTCCTGCCCTCTGCCCCGCTGGTTGGGCCAAGTGCGATGCTCGGGCTGCGCGCGATGCTGGGCTCGGCCCCGATGCTTGGACAGAAGGCGCGCGTCAACTGCCATCCTACGGCGCGCTTTCTTTGGCTTCCTCAACCCCCGCAAACCTGAGTATGAGTGTGAGCAGAGAATTGTGATTCCACTTCACCAACCTTCTTAATCATTGTTCACGTTCTGCTACTTCAAAGTCCAAAAGCCAAGAAATAAGTCGGTGCCCCCAAACTGCAGGCACTAAGCAATACTAACTAAACCAACACTAAAGAGAGAGGACCAAAGAGGAGACTCAAGAGGAGACCGAAGAGGACGAAGCAAGAAAAAACCCTGCTCACCAATACTGCACCAGTACAAAGGCCTCACTATCCAAAACTAAAATCCAATACAAAGTTTACTCCAAACCATCACTAAGGACGCACTAAGCAATAGGAAGCCAACACTAAACAGTACTCAGTTAGAGACTACTTGGGGGGCACATCTGACCCCCAGCTTGTTTTGCCAGTCTCCTTTGTTGGGTCCCCTCAAACTGTTTGGGAAGCGGGGGGCCCTGTATGAATCAGTCACCCAAGTGATAACTATGCTTACCATCACAACCTCAGAGTTGCCCATTTTCTTTTTGCCCTCGTGAATGCCAAACGCAAATGCACACGCCCACACGCCCACACACACACACTCACTCACTCACTCACTCACTCACTCACTCACACACACACACACACACACACACGCCCACGCCCACGCCCACGCCCACGCCCAGGCCCAGGCCCAGGCCCAGGCCCAGGCCCAGGCCACGCCACGCCCACGCCCACGCTACACGCCTACGCCACGCCCACGCCCACGCCCCGCCCTCGCCACGGCCCACGCCACGCCCACGCCCACACACACAACAACACACAAACACAAACACAACACACACACCGCACGCACGCAGCACGCACGCAGCACGCACGCACACACACGCTCACACGCACGCACCGCACGCTCGCACGCAGCACTCCGCACACACAACGCCAACACGCACACAACGCACACACACAACACAACGCACACAACGCACACAACGCACACAACGCACACAACGCACACAACGCACACAACGCACACAACGCACACAACGCACACAACGCACACAACGACGCGCACGCGCACACGCGGCACACGCGCACACGCGCACACGCGCACACACGCACACACGCACACACGCACACACGCACACACGCACACACGCACACACGCACACACGCACACACGCACACACGCACACACGCACACACGCACACACACACACACACACACACACACACACACACACCCGCGCGCGCGCGCAAGCCCACGCCCACGCCCACGCCCACGCCCACGCGCACGCGCACGCGCACGCGCACGCGCACGCGCACGCACACGCACACGCACACGCACACGCACACGCACACGCACACGCACACGCACACGCACACGCACACGCACACGCACACGCACACGCACACGCACACGCACACCCACACCCACACCCACACCCACACCCACACCCACACGCACACGCACACGCACACGCACACGCACACGCACACGCACACGCACACGCACACGCACACGCACACGCACACGCACACGCACACACGCACACGCGCACACGCGCACACGCGCACACGCGCACACGCGCACACGCGCACACGCGCACACGCGCACACGCGCACACGCGCACACGCACACACACGCACACACGCACACACGCACACACGCACACACGCACACACGCACACACGCACACACGCACACACGCACACACGCACACACGCACACACGCACACACACGCACACACGCACACACGCACACACGCACACACACACACACACACACACACACACACACACACACACACACACACACACACACACACACACACACACACGTGAACAGGTTCATGTCAAACACACGTTCCAGTATGCTGAGAATGTGGACAAATTACCAAGATCTGAGCCAGCAAATGCTTGCACACCATACAACTCCAAAAGCTCCGAATCGGCTGCTGAATACTGCCCAATTCAGAGCAAGACGCTCATCTCCCAGCATCTCCCCAACCTCAGCGCGGAACACCTTGCATTTGTGCGGCCCGTATAGTCTGCGTCTGGCTGTGGAACCCAGGAATACCCATCAAACACAACACATTCAAACAATGCTGGTGACACAAAGCTCGGTTCAATGTTGCTGCACTCCCGAGAAACAAAGGAACCCATCAATAGACCCTCAAATGTGAAATGGGACGGGCAAAGCACATGTTGGTTTCAATCCTCCAGACCTAAGCAAATTATGTGAACGAATCGCGGCAACATGTGTAGGTGGGTCTTGCCCGTCCATCATCTCTTGGGAACCCGGCCCGACGCCGCATGAAGATCTGTTCCTTCTCATGGGTCTCCGCGCAATTGGCCAAGTAAGCCCTGACTTGAGCAGCTAACCTCGGCTTGCAGCCGGAGGCCTCCAGCGGGCTGAAAGGGAACACCCCCCTATTAATCAACCAGGGGTTTATTAATCCGGGGTTAACATTATCCTTCCAAGGCAAATGCTCACAGAGTATGACATGATGCCATTTGCCACTAGCGTAGCTATGCGGATACGGCAATGACCCGTTAAATGAAGAGGTGGATCATGGCAGTCCGTCGGCCATCCTGTTCCACAAGCCAGTACCATGGTGAAGTGACGTGAGAAGCTTGCTAGCTGCCAAGCGACTGCTTCTTTGCCAAATAGTTGGCTTCATCCTGTGCCTCGAGCAAAGCTTCACAGCGCTCCATCCAAGTGGAGAAGTCGTTGTTCTTCCTGTGCTCCGTGCCGCTCGTGGAGTCCAAATTAGCAGACCCGCACCACGACCAAGGCAAAGGGATGATACGTGGTGCGAATTGAACAAACACACATGATACTGCCACTTTGCATTGCATGGTTCGATGTTTCGATGACGCCCAGTGCAAACAAGCAAATCCTCCCAGGGAGGGGGCTGACACATGGGAGACCCACATTCAAGGCGGAGCATTAAGAACGGCTCGTACTCGTATGAGCTCGACAAACACCACAGAGTTACAATTGGAAAGTGAATGCAAACACAAGGAAGGTAAGTTAATGAATGTAGTAGGGAAGCAGTAGGAAAGCTGGTGGAAAGTATTTGGGCAGCAACTCTACAGCCATTGGAAGCAGTTGGACATACATTGGAAAGCACATTGAACACCAATTAGAAAGTAAATAGACAGCATTTCGAGAGCAGCGGGGAAGAACCATTGCAGCATCGGAAGAAGAACGCTGGAACCAATGACAAACATGAATTGACGCTAGCCTTGGCGCTTTGATCGGCCACCACCCACGCCGGTCGCACTCGTTTGCCCCCGGAATTGGCATGGGCACCACTCCGGCCGGCCTACTTGTGGCCGCAGGCAGGGTGATCTTTGGCAAGGAGCCCGCTTGCTCCTTGCAGGAGTTCAGTTGCGAGAAGCTTCCCATGCACATAATTGAGCTCCGGGAAACAAGGGGCATGGCGCGACAGAAACCCACGCAACTCTAAGCATTCTGAACTTCTGAAAACTCTATCGTGTTGCTTCATGCCCATGCTAACACTCCAGCCGGAGCTCCTCTATGCATTCTAAAATCTCGGCTGCATTCATCAGGCCCATCTCCTCGCCACATTTGCGCTCCGCTCAAAACCATCTGCCCGCGCTCCGTTGCATCACGGCCCCTTCAGATTCGACAGCTCGCAAAACGAGCGGATGCCAAAGCAAACCGCCTGACTCTGCTCCGATGTGCTCGCCCTTCGTAGTGCAGAAGCGACCTAGCCATCAACATTCGGCAATCTACCATTCGATCTGCCGGCTGACAGAATCCCGTCAAAAGCCGCGCTCAATTGAGGGGACACCCCCATTTCCCACAGCATTTCATGAAGTCTATGGACCCTTCTCCCTCTCTTATTTGTCTCGAGGCAATCAACTGCCGCCCGCGGCTTGTCCCTTCAACATCGTGGCTGCCACTTGGCCCGCGGCTTGTGAAGCCTGAGCGTCCTCGCAACGGCAAGCATAGCAAGAAGCAATTTCACTCATGAATTTGAAGAAGCCACCAACCCAAAGTTGCAACTTGAGGAGCGGGTGAACGAAAGCTAGCAGTTGTTGCATGAGATGGGTCACAGAGTGGATTCATAGGTAGCTGGTGTACAACGAGAGGCCCGGCAAGATTCGTAGGATGCGACACGCAAACGCACATGGTGGCGTGGCAAACCTTGAAAAATGAAAACAACGAGAGGCGTCAGAAGCTGTCTTAAAGCACCTCTGGGTTCTGCATGCTGCGTGTGCAAAGATTCTTGCGAGGTGGTTTACTGAGAAGACTGAGGTCTCAAATGAACAAGCTGAATCGGTGGAACATGTAAAAGTTCGTAGCACCAAGTCCAAAACGGGCAAACCGAGACTGCTGAAACACTGAGCCACTGCCCGGGGGGAGGGGTGGACCAAGGAGGAATCGAGCCTGAGACGGGGGGGGGGGTCTAAATAATTGATTTTCAATCTTTTCGGCTCAAATAATTGAAAAAAACAATCTTTCGGCAGTTGAGCCCCTTACCTTGCTTACGCAAGGAGAAACTTCAGCTAGCTAAAGCTAGCTTTCGTGAAAAGTCTCTTGACAGGAAACCTCATCCGTGCTTGGGTGCGGCTGGCCCTGAACTGGCGGCACATTGCCCATCAAACCTGGGGGCCATTGAATCTGGGAACATTTGTTTAGGCACTAGGCACATTTAAGATAGGAGCAGCTGTGCAAACGAGAAAAAAGGACAGAAAAAATCATCAAGAGGGTGATCCGAACCGGGCTTCCTTGAGGGCAGTCGCTCTAGCTGTTAGCTCAGTTTTACAGCCCCCAGGATGTCTTCGAGTCAAATGTGACGACTCAAGCGCACGTCCTGCAGCAAAGAGTTGGCAACTCGCAGTAGTGCCACATCAACCTCTTCTTGCCTGCGAGTCGTCACCCCAATGTTTTGGGATGTTCGGTTTGCCTCGTTCGAAGGGGAAGGCGGATTCATGCAAACTGAGTCACCTTCTGGCGAGCTATTCGATTTGAGTCTGCAAATGCTTTTCTCTTCTGCCCAGGACTCTGGGAGCCTCAGCCCTGTCTCCAGCAGCCGCTGCTTGACATCCTCGCGACTTGTGACAGATTTCAGAGTGCACCTGCAACCAACTTGTTGGCATCGGCGCACAGCCGAGCAACATGCACAATTGTTGAGTTGCTAGAAGTCGATGGACAATTCTCTCTTTCTCTCTCTAGCTGTCTCCAGAACCAGACGCGCAGCTTTGCTTCCTTCAGACATCAAGGCAAGTTGCAGGAATGCATGCCTCTCCTCCTAGACCTGCATGTCAGGCATTTGTCCGGTTAGTGCGGAGCAAGCTTGGGAGTGCCGCAACGCGAAACATCCTCCCCACATAATGATTTATCACGTTAGCTCTGCCAGCCAGCCGTTTTGTCAGCCTTGGTGCACTCGCATACGTCCAGTAGCTATTTGCCGTCTAGCGAGCGACTCAAACATGACAGAGGAAAGTAGCGCAACGTTTTGACAACCCAAAGAAAGTCCAGCAGCTAGTGGCTGAACACTGTATCCAGCGATGCGTTGAACACTAAATTGAACACACATTGAACTTCATTGAGCGCTATATTGAACACTGCGTCGAACACCGCGTTGAAAAGCACAATGACAACTGCCAAAACCGCGACACAAACAACACTTTCCACACAGTTGCTAAATTTTGAGGAGGAAGAAACAACACCTGCTGAGTTCCCATACCGTGAAGCAAAGGGGAAGCTGAACGTTAGTGCGTTTTTGCGCAAATTGGGCAGTGTTCAATGTAGATTTTACTGCCGCGCTCGGCCGCACCAGTGGTTGACGGACCGAAGTTCTGCACTCCCATCCGCATTTTGTCACTGAACAAGGCCGTGCACCCCGCTTCCCCTTTGCAATGCTGCTCGCATTCACAAGTGGTTCAGAATTTCGGATACCTCAAGATGTTTGGAGCCAAGAGCCTTCAAACTTCCAATGTTAAATGATAGCAACAGCGGTGCAGGATTTCGGCCTTTTCCTAGCATGGAAGTTTAGTAGCTCAGAAAAGCACGCCATTGCGGAAACGTCAAGAATCCCAAGACATACTTGCTGTAGCATAAGGCGCGTGGATACCGGCTACGAACATGACTTGTGTGCCCCAAAGCCTCAGGCTGTTTTCACCTGAGGATGATGTCAGCAGAAGCCCATGCTAACAAAAGCGTGCAAAATACCATGACGGTGACGGGCATCCCCAAATCGATCGCAAAGCGCACACGCATACGATACAAAGAGCTCTCCATGAGACAACTGCCATGCTGCACATAATGAAGAAGGTTCACACAAAGGACATACAACAAGTGTCATAATCCTATATTCCAGCATCTTCTCGCAGAATATACTTCGTTGGGGAGGCCTTCGGGTTTTATCAGCTAGGACTAATTGACATCTGCTCCTGCACCGTGTGCCTCCTCTGCGAGGTCGGCGACTGCACCTCCTGATGACAGGGCGCACATTGGAAGACTTGGGTGGTGTGAGCTGTTTTGACACCTTGGCCAGGCCGGACAAACCAACTTGCCATTTCTCATCGATGCCTCACGATTCGGAGAAACCTAACATAAAAAAGCAAAGCAAAGTGCAAGCTTGCAGAACTTCATAAGCCTGCTGAACTGACACTATGCCCAACATGTCACCAAGCCTTTTGCCTGGTGGATTGCCTGCGTGGACACGCAATCCCAATAAACTCGTGCCTCCGTGGCGGTGTCTGCGGTGCCTGCATTTGCCGTCTGCTTGCCCCTGCCTTGTCGTTTCGAATAGTGGTGGCTGGAATGGAACATTCAGATTCCAACGCACTGCGCAGAATTTGAAGACACGCCCTTCGAAGGCATACGGGTGAGACAGCACTTTTGCAGCCCCTCATCCGAAACCTTGCTTGTGACCAAACAACTCCCCCCTTTTGCATGCGAGACCAATGTCAGCACAGTCACTCTGTCTTCTCACGCACCTTGGGATTCAGTGCCATTGCGCAGTGGAATTTCGAGATTATCCGGAAGTTTTCCTGGCACAGGCAAGCCTCTCGTAGTGGCTGACTGGCCCGTGCATGCACTCACCAGCAAAGAAGGCCCGGTTGTTCGAGTGCAATGCTAAAGTGGACTTGTGCTGTCCATTTTTAGGGGACCCGCCAAAATGATGGTTTTCATTATGGTTTCCTTTGCCAACCAAAACACAAGCCAAAAACAGGCACCCTCAACAAAACTGATCACACAAACACACAAACAAGCACAAACAAAC